ACCCAGCCGATGGAATTGGGAAGTGATTTGACTATGGAATATTTCGAGGCTCAACGCCTTCAAAGATGCTGACGAGTAGCTGGTAGAAATTTCGTGTCGTAACCGGGTGCTACGGTTTCAAGGCGGCAGTGCCGACGGCCTTTGTTGTGGAAGGAGACACGAAATCTCTGGAAGCCGGATGAATTTTCGTTAGCCTGCGTAATCGACAACCTGCGCATGGTACCTCGCCCAGTAATACGTTGGCTTTATTCGTCTAAAAACATAAACTTTCGTTTGTGTTCGGCACGTTTAGCAAACGAGACTCATGACGACGCGCGGTTCTCTTGAAACGTCGACCGATCATCATCGCTATGACTCCTGTTGACTCGCCTTTGAGTCTTGAGTGCTGTGCTGTCGACGTGCGTTGGTTCAGCGAAATGCACGCTGTTTGCCTCGGACGGACGGACGGACCACGGCACCAGAGTCTCCCGCGTCCTCCTCCAATGACGTCAGCAGTTTATGGCGGCGCCGATGCTGACGATCGTCAACATGGTCGATCGAGAAAGAGTATCAAGAAGAATACGCAGTGACGCATCGCCAGTCAGTTCGTTTCCTGTTCAGTGTCGGTCCGTCCGTCTTCGTTAAGTCAAGTCGAGTCGAACCAAATCACTATCTTCCTCGTCTGAGGCGTAACCTGACTTGACTCAGTGAACAGCGATCGCCTCGTTTCTTGGCTCCAGGTAAGCAAGACAGCTGGCACCCGAATTCTACGCTTCTCATGTTTATGCGCTTCCGATTTATCGTGTCATATGCCTCAGCGATTTAAACGTTAGTTTACCTGGTCGCTGTTTTATCAGTACGCTGCATATTACGATTATGCTAATAGCGTACGGCGTTTTATTACCAATTTTCGGTTACGTACAATTCGATCTTTCCTATTCCTTGAAAATAGACGTTAGTGAAAAATGGCGATGATAGATGTTGTTCCTTGTTCAGCGAGGATTGACGGTTGATTTGTACATAAAGCAAAATAATTCGGTAAGTTGGATGATCAACCAATAACGACGTTTTGTCCCGTATTCTATGGGCCTTCCGCAATTTAAAGTTTTGGTTTTGTTTCGGAAGATTTTCTTGTTCATGTTACTGATTATGCAGTTTCCTGCAGGAAGGGACGAACAAGACTTATTTAATCTGAGCAGTACTCATATTCTTTGTCACGGTTGACTTTGTTCTGCTCTCATTAAATGCTAAGTAAAATTTTTCTATAGCAAATTCACTTAAATAGTATATTAATCTCTCATTTGTTTCAATAATAAGATTAATAAAATTTTGCGTTGTACGGCTGAAAGTACCATTTCTTCTTCGATGGTAGATTCTACTAGTGAAGTAGACCACCAAAAAGGTTAGTCATGCTCAAATTAAGATACCCAAAAAGTAGATCAAAAAATATGTTAGCCGTAAAATAGGTTACCGATTAAGCGCGGCAAAAGGTAAATAATCAATAAAGTAGATTAGTAAGTAAGTAGGTCACAAATAAAGTAAGTAACCGTTAAAGTGGCTTTCCGCTAATGTAGGTCACTTGAAAAGCCGACCATCGGATTAGTCAGTCAAAAGCTGAAGGGCTAAAGAGTAAGTAAGTTGTATGTAAGTAGCTGACCAGGAAATTATGTTAAGAAAGTAAATCTCCTCTAAAGTCAATCACGGCAAACGTATGATATACAAAAAAACATGACAAAGAAATCAGATCCAAAAACGTAGGCCAGCACTGAAGTAGGCCATGAAGAAATGTATATCGTTGCTAAAGCAGGTAAGGAAAATAACTTAATAATAACTTAATATGAGGTCACCAGGAAAGTAGATCACTACGAAAATATATACTCGGAAAAATCGGCTATCAAAAACGTATGTCGAAGCAAGAGTAGATCATCAGAAGGTAAGTTGCCTCATAACTGGGTGACCGAAATACTAGGTTGGGGCAAAAGTAGATATCCTGCAAAGTAGGTACCGTCAGAAGTAAGTCAACATACGTTAAGCCGTATCTAAAGTAAATCATCATAAACGTTAGTCACCAATGGAGTATATCATCAGGAAAGTAGGTAATGAAACGTGTCTCCTAAAATTGATCCTTTAAGGTATGTCACGAGGAAGATGTAGAATATGCTCTATGTAGAATATGCTTTCTTTTACCAGTATTCCTTGTCTACTGACATACCATTATCAAGTGAGGGTTCTTATGCCAGAATGTGTTAATTGTAGGAAAACTGCTCTCCATCGACTGGTTGACTGATGCACAGTTCGGTGAAATCGTTGCTCAAGGGAATTAGCAATTAATAAGGAAGCTTTCGCCTCGCACTTTGATTTGAAATAATTCTTAATCCACTATCAATTGCACCCTCCCTGACAAGCGTCAATCACTGACAAATGAAACGATGCTAGTGTCGTGTATGCAGTGCAAGATCTCAGCTTACACCAATCCAGGAAATATGTACGAGTGAGCGATTAATGCATTATGAACGCATAGGCAATTTGGCTACTGATCATGACAGCAGTTCAGCGACCGATGAGTAATCACTATGTCCTGGCATTTCAATGTGCCTCCTCTATCGAAAAAGAAACCATGAAGAGCATGGCCGATGGGTACAAACTACTTTCTTCCGCTCTCACACGTTGTTTCATTAGCATTCGTTAGGGCACTGTCGCTTAAAAAACAACGCAAGGTATTTCCACTCATTGTCACCAATCCCACCGTTGAACCGGGCACAACTCCATTGGGCTGGTGTCATTCAGTCAAACAGTTTCGATAAACATCATCTAATTCGTCGGGTCGCGGAGACAGATAATTCAGGCAGTTGCTCCAACGTTCCTCATCACGTGCTTGCATGTGAACCTCGACAGATGATAACCTGAGTCTGCGGCAGAGTCATTGGAGACACAGCCCATCTTATCGCAGCTTACTCTTGACCCTCACCTAAGTGTTCGGCCGGTCGGTTGAGCAACTAGCAATTGCTACGCCCTACTTTCTGGAAACATTCGAAGAACGAGCCCAAAATATCGCGGATATGACTGATCAATGTGCAAAATCAGCGGTCTTACACCAACACTCTCTCGGATATCTAGGCTTCGTCGAGAAATGAGAGCCCAGCGATTTGACTCAGAAAGC